AGCCTGAGAGTCTAGCCGTACTTAGATCTAGGTTTGGCCCTATCGACTCAAACCTGTTAAGTACACAGGTCTCATTAGATAGATCTAGTTAATTATTCAGGTTCAAATGCATGCTATTAAGTCAGTAAGGCACGTTTTGGTTTTGTCTGAAATACAAATACTTTAGGCACTGCAAACGAAAAATTTCATTTACAATTCAGCCATCAATATTAAGTACGGCTAGCCTGACAGTCTAGCCGTCCTTAAGTACCGCTAGCCTGGCTGTCCACCCGTACTTACGGCTTGCCAAGAAGTCGAGCCGTACTTAAGTAGGGCTAGACTGCCAGTCTAGCCCTACTTATCTTAGGCTCTATTAACATTAGAAAACAGGAGGTTTAAAATACCGAAGTGACTATTCGGACTCGAGTCCGAATATGAAAAAATGTTATTCGGACTCTGATTCTTGTCCAGCATGACATCACTTCCGACTTCCTGTGACTCGTGACTCCGGCTTCCTGTCCTGCCTCACTCGTGACTCGCCTCAGGCTGGGTAGAGACTGGGATCACTTCGGGCAAAAAGGCGTTTTGTGCAGGAGCCGAGTTTTTATCTTATGATGAATTTGAGGCCGGCCTGAAAAGTTATAGCGCTTCTAATAAATGTTTATTTGTCAAGAGGTCATCAGAAGCAATCAAAGATGGCTCGTTAGCGTGTGTCGGGGTCGGATGGGCGGCCTGCACACGTGTGGCTGTGTGCGTGTCAGGAACGGGGGTGGGCACTATCGGTCCGGGCGTTGAACGTTGCATACGCGTCAGTCTTTTTCCCCCTGGCAACTGATCATTATTACAATAATAAGCTAATCTTGACGTAGATCTACGTAATGAATTGTGCGCTGGTCTATGGAATCAAAAGTTGCCGTATGCTCAGCTCTACACAGCAAAACAACTTTTTCTTGGTAAACAATCGAGATGACACAGGCATGTGTATTTGAACGAATCGGTCTTTTTTTTTTACACAGCTCATAATATGCAGGTGCCAGGTGGTCTGCTAATCTTCAATTTTACCTTTTTCTACAACAAAGAAAGTGGGAAACATGGGGGGGGGAGTGGGGGGGGCGTATCAATGAGGCGGCAGGCATCGGATCGGCAGAAAAGGTGTGGGGGAAACTAAAAATGGCGGAAAATTGGAAGCACTGAACATTAGATCTATAGAACGAAGACACTTCCTTTTTTTCGGACGGGTCCGAATAACATTTTTTCATATTCGGACTCGAGTCCGAATAAGAATTTTTAAAATTCGGACTCGAGTCCAAATAACGACGGCCTTAAAATACATGCACTATCATCAAGGCCAAGGCACCTGGTTTCGTCTCAAAACAAATACTTTAGGTAATGCAAACTAAAAATTTATAGATCTATTTACAATTCAGTAGGCTTATTTTTTTTTATGGTCAGTCTGGCCATCATATTAAGAATAAGTACGGCTAGCCCAGCTGTCTAGCCGTACTTATTAAGTACGGCTAGCCAACCAGTCTAGCCGTACTTACTGTACTTAATAAGTCCAGTCTAGCCGTCATTAAGTACGGCTAGCCGCTTCCAAATTTGATAGTGATAACTGCCGACAAACTTATACACATGTATAAAAAAAACGCCGTGGCTGCCCGTACGGGACCGTACGGATAAGAATAGTGGCTACCCGTACGGGACCGTACGACAAGAAAATATTCTATTCGTACGGCGCTTTTCGGTTGCGGTTGGAGTTGGAGGAGGAACCTGAAGAAGTCAGAAAGTCAAAATGGCTGCGGAAACAACACCACGCTTTCAACTCGGTGATTCTTTCAATTAAAAAATTTGACCCACAAGGATGTTGGTGTTGGTGTTTGTTGGTTGTTGCTTTTTATTTGGGGGTTTTTTTTTAGATTGTTTTTTTTTGTTTTCTCAGTTTCTTAGCTTGCCCAGAAAATTAAATTGTAATCTGTGTTTTTGTTTCTGTTTTTAAAGGGATTTTTGTCCTGTTGTTTGATTTCCCAAGAAAATTACTCTGTCATCTTGTACTCGTTCTCCTTGAAGGGAACAAAAAGTAGGATTAAAAGTGCTTCTTTTTACAGAGGAATATTTTAATATCTATTTCGTGTTTATCAGAATAATGTATTAATAAGTGGAATTAACAAGAGAAAAAATGGCAAGAGAAAGAAAGAGAGAGAGAGAGAGAGAGAGAGAGAGAGAGAGAGAGAGAGAGAGAGAGAGAGAGAGAGAGAGAGAGAGAAGAGAGAGAGAGA